GCCTCCTCCTCCGCGGGCGACCACTTGCTGCCCGCCGCTGCGGGCTGGGGCTCCCGCGCCGCCGAGCGCGCTCCCTTTCGCCCGCGCCGGCGCGGCGCTCGGTTCTGCCTCGGCTAGCTGCGGCCGTGCCCGGGTGCCGAGATGCAGCGGGGCGTCGGGTTTCGTGGGCCAGGGCCCCGGGTAAGATGACCCAGTTAATGGTAGGGCCCGGGAGCCCTTCAATTTGCCAGATTCACTGAGCCAGGTTTACCGCAATTGGTGTTTTTTCGGGCGACGGCGTTTCCAGTTAGTGGAAATGGGACGGGGGGGCGCCCCCGGTACAGATCGCTAAACCAGGTTCCACTAAACCCAGTTCTACCAACGCCCGACTCGTGGGCCAGGGCTTCTGCGCCGCGGTTGCGGCCCAGCAAGGACAGACCGCAGGCGTGGTCCGTGCGCCCGCGTCCGCGCATGCGGCGTTCTGCCAGGCAGAGGGGGCCTCTCGTCGCCCAGCTCGATGCAGGCGCAGCGGCGCGCGCTGACTCGCGGGCGCGCGGCGCGCGTCTCCTGCCCCATGTCTTGATTTATTGTTGGGTTGTGCTCGCCCTTGATGCATGGCGAGTGAGTCGGGCTTCGGGCGGCTTCGCTGTCGCCGCTTCGCTTCGCCCCCCTTCTTGGCAACGGGGGCCGGGCGCCGCTGAAGCTGTTTCCCGCGGGGCTGTCAAGGCCCCGCGTCAACGTGTTGAGGGCGTTGTTGGCGGACAAGGGCACCGCCGACAGGTGGCCCGCAGCCGGCGCGGCGTCGATGCGCATCGCGGCGCGGCCGATGCCACCCCGTGCCGATTCCATGCCGGCTTGGCCCGATTCGAACTAGTTTCCTCAGGCGGTGTGTAGCGATGCTGCACATGGGCGGCCCCGATGGTCAGCATTTTCTCATTTCGACACTGGGCGGAAGTAGGGGGGGGCTTCGGCCCCGGACCTTCGCCCGGCGCGGCCGCTTGGAACTGGCGCCCAAAAACAGCCATGATCTATTCCATGGGGGGGTGGGGGGGGGGCGAGGCCCCGCGCCGATCGGCAAAACAATGGATAAGAAAGCGATCGCATGCCCCACGGTCGTTCAAAAGTGTTCGCGGCAGCTGTTCAGGGCGATCCGTAGTCTTGGGCGGCGGGGGGAGTGGGGCGGCGGGGGGCGGCCGCCGCGCCGAGCGGATTGAATTGTGCGCCCAGCGCGCTCATCGCCAACGGAGACGCAGCGCCCCCGCTCCATGGTCGTTGCCAGGGAGACTTTCATTCTCGCCACCTCACCAGCGTCATTCTCGGCGCCGCGTTCGTCTGAGAAAATACAATCATGATGGTCAAAGTGCGCCACTGGATCACCCTGCTAATTGAAAGGAGGGGGGTTTGGACCCCCCCCCCTTTCAAGGGGGGGGGGTGAGACTTTCGACCCCCCCCTTTGCGCTGGACAGAGAGCCAGGGAGGGGGCCTTTCCCGCTGCTCCCTTCTGCGACGGAGGAGGTGGGTAGGGAGCATGGAGAAGGGAATAGTGAGTAGTGAGTAGTGAGTAGAGATTAGCGAGTAGTGAGTAGTGAGTAGTTAGTAGTGAGTGATAGTGAGTAGTGACTACTCATTAGGGAGCAGTGAGTAGTGAGTAGCGAGTAGTGAGTAGTGAGTAGCGCGAAATGAGTAGTCAGTCGTGAGTCGTGAGTAATGAGTAGTGAGTATTCAGTAGAGAGAAGGGAGTAGTGATTTGTAGGTGGTGAGTAGTTGGTGTTGAGTAGTAATTTGCGGGTAGTGGGTAGTGAGTAGTGAGCAGTGAGTAAAGAGTAGTTAGTAGTGAATGGGGAGTAGTTCGTAGTGAACAGTGAGTCGTGAGTAGTGAGTAGTCAGTAGTGAATAGTATGCAGTGAATCGTGGGTAGTGGGTCGTGGGTAGTGTGAGGTGAGTAGCGAGTAGGGGGTTGCGAGTAGAGAGTAGTGAGAAGCGAATAGTGGGCAGTGGGTAGTGCGTAGTAGGTAAGCAGTACTGAGTAGTGAGTAGCGAATGATGAGTAGTGAGTGGTGAGTAGTTAGTAGTGAGTAGGGAGTCCGGAGTAGTGAGTACTGTGCAATGATATGTGAGAAGTGGGTAGCGGGTAGTGAGTAGTGAGATGTGAGTGGTGAGTAGTGACTAGTGACTAGTGAGTAGTGGGTGGGGAGTTTTGAGTTGCGGGCAGTGATTCGTGAGTGGTGATTAGTGAGTAGTGGGTGGTGATCATGGGGTATTGAATAGCCAATAGCGACTAGCGGGTAGTAAGAAGTGAGTAGTGTGTAGTGACTAGAGAGTAGTGGGTAGAGAGTAGTGGGTGGTGAGTAGTGTAGTGGGTGGTGAGTAGTGAGTATTGAGTAGCGAGTACCGAGCAGGGTGTAGCCAGTAGTGACTCGTGAGTAATGAGTACTGTGTAGGGAGTAGCGAATACAGAGTAGTGAGTAGTGAATACTGAGTAGTGAGTAGTGAGTCGTGAATAGTAGGTAGGGAGTGGTAGGTAGTGAGTAGTGGATGGTGTTCAGTGAGTAGTGACTAGAGAATAGTGGGCAGTGAATGGTGCGAAGTGAGTAGTGACGTGTGTGTATGGAGCAGTGAGTAGTGAGTTGGGAGTAGTGAGTGGGAAGCACTGAGTAGTGAGTAGTGGGTAGTTGGTAGTGAGTAGTCAGTATCGAATAGTGTTCGGGGCTAGGGTTTGGGGTTGGGTTTAGGGTCTGGGATTCGGGTGAGGATTAGGGTTAGGGGTGGTAGGGGTGGGGCGGGTTCTGGAGTCGGGTGTCGGCGTGGCGAATTTCGAGCCCAATGGAAGGGGGGGGGGGTCGAACCCCCCCCCCCCCCCCTTTTGGAAGGGGGGGGGGTCCCGACGACGGACCGGGAAAAGGGGGGGGTCCCCGACGACGGACCGGGAAAAGGGGTGGGTGGGTCCCCGACGACGGACCGGGGAAGGCGCGGGGGGGGGTCCCAACCCCTCATTCCCTTTGGGGGGATCCAGCGGCGCGCCCTCCATGATGGTCGTAAAATGATCCCTTACCACTTTTGGTCCCAGCACCCCTGTTTTTTTCCGCCCGCTTCCCTCCTCTCACTGCTGCAGGTCTCTTTCTCTCATCCATCGGTGTTTCTGTCCACCCTCTTTTCTTCCAATTCGTGCCACATGTATTTCCAATATTTCGCCGTCCTGTCCTGATTTCCACGAGTTGTTGTGTTCATTGGTTTTCGCGTTCATCGAACATGTTACACCGCTGTTTCCTCCTTGTACGGTTCATTCCCCATCGAATTTGTACGATCGTGCGTCCAACATCCGCATCTCTATCTACTGCGCCCCGTTGCCCATTATTTAATCGCTTCGCTCATGCCGCCGGCCCTGGAGCCCTCTTTAGGGCCTCTTGGGGGCCTCTTGGGGACCTGTTGGGAGTCTCTTGGGGCTCCTTGGCGGCGTTTTGGAGGCCCCCAGGGCCTCTTGGGGGGCTCTTGGGGGTAGTCGATTGCGGCTCCCCCCTCGGAGGCCACGATCCTCGTGAAATACACTCCCCTGGAGTGGTCTGGTGGCTTCTCCCGGGCTTCTCTCGGGACCTTGCCGGGGTACTTTTCGTCCGGGGGCCCCCAGGGGCCGCTCCGCGCGCGCGAACTAGAAATATTGTTAACAAGTTACCGGAGATCTTAGCACGCCTCTGGCCCGTTGGGCCGGCGAATTTAGTTATTCTCATGGTTTATCGACTCCTGGCACAATCGGGTTCAGCTTCTCCTTGTATGATGGTAATGACTCGTGCCGCATTGTCGCTGGTACGACTGTACCTGTCCGCCCTACCCGAGTACAATTGCTGAGAATGACGACAATGCCAATAGTACGCTGATAGCGACCACGAGGATGATTCTGACCATGGTGAGTTTGATTCCATTTGATAATGGTGATCATGGTGATCATGTTCATGGTGATGGTGGTGGTGGCGAAGATCTGGATGTGTATGGTGATGACGGTGGTAATGATGATGAGTGGGTGGTGATGACGATTTTGGCGGTAATGATGACAGTGGTGGTGGTGATGATGATGATGACGAAGATAACGACGACGGCGATGTTCATGAGGGTGATGGTGATGGTTTTGTTGATGCTGCTGCCGATTACGGCGATGATAGAAGAGAACATAAGCAAGACGAGAAGGGGGAAAACGAGGACAATGTGGACGAGGAGGTGGATGGGATTGAGCTACCAATAGCTTCCAACGCTAAGGATTACGATGACAGTGATGACCATGACGGTGATGATCCGTCGGCCTCCGTTTGTTTGGGAGTAGGCGTGGACAGGGGGAAAAAGTGTAGGGTGAAGGAGGGTGCGCCTTGCCCACCACGGATTGGAACCGGGTTGGCAGGTGCAGGCCCCTTCGTCGGGAAACAAAATTCAGAGTGAGGGGTCCGAGCGGTCATTCGTTGTCTTTGGGTGCGTGGCTGGAACGGGCTTCCGCGGTGCGGATTGTTGTTGCTGCTGTTGTTTCTTGGTGTTGTTTATGGTTGTCGGCGTCCCGCCTGCGACCCGGCCGGCGACCCACCCGCGACCCGCCCGCGACTCACCCGCGACCCACGCTCGACCCACCTGCGACCTACCCGCGACCCGCCCGCGACCAACCCGCGACCAACCTGCGACCCACCCCGCGACCCACCGAGCGATCCACCCGCGGTTCGCCCGCGACTCGCCCGCGACTCACCCGCGACACACCGCGCGACCCACCCCGCGACCCACCCGCGATTCGTCCGCGAGCCACCCGCAACCCACCCCGCGCCCGCCCCCTCTCTCTCGTCCGCAACTGCGGGGTGCTACACAAAATCATAGCACTACTTCTTGGACCTCTGCCAGGGTTCTGACTAGAATCTCGAGGACAATCCAGCCGTGGTAACGAGAATTCTCCAAGACGCGCGGCGATATCGGTGTTTTTCCCCACCTCAGGACCCTTCCTGGGCAACCCGCCAGCCTCTGGCCCCCGTGCGAGCCCAGAGCGGACCCGCGAGGAAGCCCGTCGAAGCGCCTGGCAACGGCCGAGGCCGCGCCGCCCGCGGCCCGACGTCCGGCGCCTTTCTGCCACCCCTCCCGAGTCCTGCCCCCCTGCGGGTTCCACCGGCGTCTTTCAAGGGAGGAAAAACCACCCGGACCGGACAATTGGCGTTTACTAAACGGCCTTGCCTTGTTCGATTCCTTCTTTGGGCGCGTTTACTAAAAGCCTCGCGTGTCGGGGTGGTTATTATCGGGGTGGATTTTCTGCCCTCTAGTCGTGGTGTCGGATCTCCCCGCTGGGGCTGAACTTAGCGGCAGACATCCGTCAGGTCCTGAGGCCACCGCCGTTGTTCCAGAAGCCTGACTCTGATGTTCGGCTCGGGGACCTTTTTGGGGCCCACCGAACGGATCTGTTCGACTCCAGCTCGAGTGCATTTCGATTCTAGCTCGTTTCTAGCTCGACTCTCGAGTGCGACTCGAGGCCGACTCAAGCCGACGGACGTCCGGCGCAGCACCGACGCACGAGTGGGGAGCGAGTGGCTCCGGGCAGGGCCCCAGAGCGAGCTCCTGACCCTATCCGCCGGGGGCAAGATTCACGTGTGGGCGCCCCGCCCCGAGGGAAGGCAAGCTGCACAAGCATGTACTCGGGGGTGGACAGAACCCCCAACAGTGACACGTCGATTAGTGAATTGTCCGTTTTCGGTTTTCGAGAGGGCGCCGTGGGCGCTATTTTCCAGGCTTGCGACCGCCAGGTTTGTGCCTCAGGTCGTTTTCACTAAACCACGTTTGTCCGCCTGGGGTGGTCGTGTCGTCGCGGGCCCACCCCCTGGCGGCGTCTGGCGCCGCCCCTTGGCACGCTTGATTCCAGCGCCGGCCCACGACAAATCATATTTACGTATGTAGTTTCTGCTTTTCTAAAACTCGTCCTCCTCCCATGCCCCCGTGTCAAGCTCTTCGAGGGTCTCGAAGGGTCTCGAGGGATTCGGGTGGGGTCCGGATGGGTTTCGGAGGATGAGGGGTGACGAAGAGGCGGATGGGCGAGATACGGAGAAGTGGTGGCGTCACCTCCGAGGCATTGCGACTACTTATCCTCTCCCCGTCTCCTCGTCGTCGCCGTCGTCCTCATACTACTCTTCTTCCTCCTCCTCCCCCTCCTCTTGTTCACATGGCTTACAGCAGCACTGGACAAGGAATGATAGGTTTGACAGGAATTTGATGTTATCAGAACCTCTCCTGGATAGCACCGTGAAGGAATTCTGAGGCCGCTAGCTGGCCCGATCCCTTCGAGGGGACGTCTCGCGCATCGTGCGTCGTTCGTCTTTTCCTTCCTCTACATCCTCCGCGACCTCCCCTCACCCTCCCGTTCCTACACCCCTGTAGCCTCGGCCCCCCATCCTCCTCATCCTCATCCCTCCCCTGCTGCTGCATCCTCGTCCGCCCAGTCCCTCCTGTGGAAGGCAAAGCAGCAATACGTAATTCCAAACGCTCGGAGGTCGGCACGGATTTCTTTGGTCGGCGTTTGAATCCCCTATCAGCCAGCGCGCTAAGGAAGGGGTGCAAACACGGGGGGTCCAGCGCCGACCACAGAAACTTGCGCGGACCACCGACCGTGATGTTTTGTTTTAATGTTTTGTCCGACCATCCTGTGGTGTTGGGCCTTCGTTTTGAAGAGGGAGCCCCGCGTCTCCCCTTCTCTCCTCTCCTCCTCCCCTTCCTCCCTCCTCCCATCCCGCGTCCTTATCGCCATCGTCCCCCAAACCATTTTGTCACACCCCTCACACGCCTCGTGGCCCCATAGGAAGCTCTTCCGAAGACCCCACTGAGAGGACGGAGTCAATCACGCTACTCGCGCCATAGCAAGACGTAGCTCGCGTAGCTTAGCTACTTAACTTAGCTATGCAGGGCCAAATATATGTGGTTAACTAAGTTGCTTGGGTTGGTTGCCTTTTGAATTTTAGTTAAGCGATCACTGTATGTTGGTTTGGACTAATTATTGGTAGCCAATTCTCAGTGTTAATAGGCCCACTCCTCCTCATCGCCCCAATCCTCCCGTCCATTCCGTTCCCTCTTGCCTCCCATGGAACAGACTGTATTGCAGCCCATGGATGGCGGACCACCTGGAGCAATATATATAGCGCAACCCATGGATGGCGCGGTCATGGTGCAACTAATGGGTAGAGCAACCCAATGCTCGCGTTTGCTGGTTTTGCAAAGAGCTACCAAGGCTAGCCTCAAATGAGGCGACCTCAGCTACGAAGAAGCGGAAGTAGGAGGAGGGGGGACGGAGGATGAGGAGGAGGAGGAGGAGGACGACGACGTCGGCACCGACGCCGAGGAGCAGGCTGGCGGGGCCACCTCTACGTGCTTGCGCCCGATGTATGCTCGCCATTTGGGCTGGCGCTGGATGATCTGTCGTATGATCCTCGTTGTCCGCCCCCGTTTTAACTCCTGACCCGTCCTTAGCACCCTCTCATCCCACTCCCCTCACTCCGTCCGTCTTCCCTCCCTAGTCCCTTCTCTTCGCCACGCCCATCCCCCCTTTCCCTTGTTCCCTGCCCCGTTCCTCCACTGTCGTGTCCGTCCCCGTCTATCCGCTCCTGTCCCCCGTCATTTCCCCTCCTGCTTTCCACAATTACTCAATATGAATACTATCCCTCTTCCCCTGATGGCGTGCTGGGAGTGGCCGCCCCCCCCCCCGGGTACTGTTTTTTTACACACAGGATTCCCGGGAGTTGGGTTTTCGCCAGCGTTTTTTTTCAAAATGCTGCTCTCGCTGAGGCGCCGGCCTCATTTCTGCTCCCGAATCGTTCCGAACCGTGCTCCCGCTGCAGCGTGGGCCTCATTTTCGGATCGGTGTTTTGCCTCCGTCGTTCAGGATGGCGTTCTCGCCCCAGCGCGGGCCTCTTTTTCGCGCGCCCATCCGCCCGCCACCACCGCGCCGCACCACGCCCCGCCCCGCCGCACGCACACCCACCGCCACTTCCACCCACCAACGCACGCACGCACGCACGCGCACCACGCCCGCGCACCGCCACCACCACCGCACTACCCCACCCACCACCACCACGCTACACCGCGTCACACCACATCACACGCGCGCACACACATACACACACGCACGCACGCACGCACGCACGCATGCACGCACGCATGCACGCACGCACGCACGCACTCACGCACGCACACACACACACACACACATCACACGCACACACACACGCACACACACAGACACACACACACCACCACCGCCACCACCTCCGCCATCACACACGTACGCACCTGGCCCACCACCAAACCACCAAGACGCCACACCACGTCACACCACAGCACACGCGCACACACGCACACACACACACATACACACCACCACCACAAGAACCACAACCACGCACACACGCACGCACGCACGCGCACCACCACCCACTACGCACACGCGCGCGGAGCCACAGGTCCGCTACGACACGCGTCCGCGGATAGAGAAAATCAGCGCCATGGTAAGGGATGGGTGGGAGGGGTAGGATGTCAGATGTTGACGCGAGCGCACCTAACTTGTTCACTCCCTCCTCCCTCCTCTCCCCCCCTCCCAACGTCGCGCCTCCTTCTCCGATCCCTCGCTCTTGGTTTCCTCGTCGCCCTCTTCCCCCATCCCTCCTCCCCCTCCCTCCTTCCCACTCTAACTCCTTCCATCCTCGCCCGCCCGCCCTCCCTCCTTCCTTCCCGCTCCTGCGTCGCTCTCCCATCCCCCCTTCCTTTCTCCCCACCTTCCTGCCACCATACCCCGTCCCTTCTCCATTCTGCCTCGTCCGCCTCGTCCTCCTTCTCCTCCTCCCGCGATGGCCGTTCTTGAGGCGGGCAAGGAGGGGGAGGGGAGCAGGGGGAGGGGAGCAGGGGGACAAGCGCTCAGGAGGGTGGGGCATTTGCGATCACGATCAGGTGATCGCTTCGGTGGGGGGGGAAAGGTGAGGGTGGTGAGGATGAGACGTGTGAGGGCGATGTAGGGGAGCAGCGAATGCGCTCGCACCAACTTCGGCTGCGATCCTCGCAAGTATTGGTAGGGTTATGGTGAGCAGCCTAACCAACGTAAGTAGCACCAAATGGTATCCTTGCGTTATCTTGTTGTTATCGTTTGTTATCCGAGCCGCCAGGCCAAATAAGGATATCACACTGCAAAGTAGGATACCAAACTGATACCACAGGATGTCAACGGGATAGAACAAGGTAGCTTAGGACAGCATGCAATTCTGCTTAACCATGCGTTATCATGCTGCTGTCATGTGTTATCCTTTTGTTGTCCTCCTTTGTCATGGCGGCCAAGGCAACAAAAAGGCGAACCAAGGATACCAGAAGGATAACACACGGATACCATTTTGGAGCTACTTATGCTAGTTAGTCTACGAAGGTAGGTACGAATCTCAGCGGGGAGCGGAGGCGTATGGCACGGAGGAGCGCGAGGAGAAAGAGGCAGGGCACGGAGGAGCGTGATGATCAACAGGGAGCTGAGGAGCGTGAGGAGAACGAGGGGATGGAGAAGGACAATGGGGAGCAAGGTGACGAAGAGGAGTCGGATGTGAAGTCGGGGAGAGAGTGAGCCAGAGAAAGATCAGGCGGGGGAGGAGGAGGAGGAGGAGGAGGAGGAGGAGGAGGAGGAGGAGGAGGAGGAGGAGGAGCAACAGGCGGAAAAGGAGGAGAAAGGGGCAGGGACAAGGAGGACGCGGTGGATGGGAATCACAAGGCACCTCGTCACTTGGGCACCTTTGCCAGCACAGACGGCGGGCACAGATCGGGCCTAGCCCCGTAGAAATTGCATGGCGCCGGCCTCCTCTTGCTTCGGCTTCAACCTCGTCGGCGTCGTCGTCGTCCTTCTCCCCGCCTCCGGGTCCTCCAAAGCTAAGCCCCCCGCCTCCGAGGCCAGTCTGAACGCTTCCGTGCCAACACAGCGCGTGGTTGCATCATCCATGGATTTTGCCTTGGGTTGCGCCATAGGTGGTGCCATTGATTGCGCCATCCGTGGGTTGGCGACATGGGTTGCTCCATCTGGGTTGCGCCATGGGTTACGCCATCCTTGGGTTGCGTCATATGATGCTCCTTTTCACGGGGTGCGCCACAGGTTGCGCCATGGATGTCGCCATCCATGTTACGCCAACCATGGCTTCATAGGTTAGGCCCTCGGCTGCCGAACATAAGACCGCCTGATGTTTGTAGCGCCATGGCTTGTGCCCTCGGAGGCCGAAAATGTACGGCCTGCTATTGGTTGCGCCCTCGACGGCCGACACATACAACAATTTGCTAATGGGTGTGACCTGCCAGTGAGTGCACATCAATAACAAAAGATTTGGGCAACACCCGAAATGAGGAGGCTGATGGGGAGCCACATAGGGATTCGGGGCTGAGCGGGATCGGGTCAGGGAAAATTGGAGGGAAGGTGGGACCTGGCGAACTGCATTGTGCGGCCTGGCGGGGTATAGACGCACCCAAGCTACTACGCCTACGCAACCTGCTTACAAATCTACTTATAATGTTGCCTTAGTTCGAAAAGGTTAGATACCAACGCTTAGATGTAAGTTACCCTTCACGGCTACGTATGGAAACTAGTTATAGGTATGTCCAGTAATATTACACAGCCGGAGGAATGCTTAAGCGAAGCTGCCAATATTTGGACATGTGCAGAAGTTTCAACTTGCTATACGCATCTTACATTTAGCCGTACTGGGGTTGCAAGTAACACGCAGCTCCGTCCTCTCTTCAGTGGCAGGGTCCGCATGCGTTCCCCCGCCCGATTTCGGCACACCCGTCACACGCTTCGTGGCCCCATGGGGACATCCACCGACGGCCCGCTCCCCGCCCGCCGCATGTCCAGTCCGACACGCCCCTCACGCGTTCTGTGGCCCCAGAGGGGGCTCCACCGGAGGCCCCGGCGGCAGTGCCCACATGCGGTGCCTCTGCGGGAGGTCCGCAGGGCCTGCCTGGAAGCCCGCCCGCCGCACGTTTCGTGTCGGCACACCCCTCGCGTGCCCCGTGGCCCCCCTCGGGAAGTCCACCAGAGGCCCCACCTGGTAGGCGCTTCACATGCGGCCCCCCGCCCACCGCACGCCCATCTCGGCACACCGGCACACCCCTCACGCGCTGCGTGGCCCCAAAGGGTGCCCCACCGACGGCGCCAGCGGTATGGTCTGCATTTAAGTCGGGCCTGTCCCTGTGCAGGGGGGTGCAGGGGGAATATTCAAAAATAGTAGAAAAATAGTGTGGGGACGATTTCTTTAGTATTTTTTTACCATTTTGGAGCATTTCTGGGGTATTTTTCATTTTTCGTCCCAATCCCCCTGTAGGGGGGACAGGCCCGACTTAAGTCTACATGCGATTCCCCGCCCACCGCACGTCCATGTCGATTTCGTCGCACCTTGCACACGCTTCGTGGCGCCATGGGGAGCTCCACCGAAGGCCCCAGCGGCATGGTCCACATGCGGCACTCCGCCCACCACGTGTTCATGTCGGCGCATCCCTCTCACGTTCCGTGGCCCCGTAGGGACCCCCACCGAAGGCCCCAATGGCAGGGTCCCCATGCGCCCCCACGGCCAGTTTGACAACCCTTCTCACGCGCTTCGCTGCTGCATGATGGCCCGCCCGAACCTCGCTTTCTGCAGACTGCCGAAGTGTTCGGTCTCACGCGGCGGGCGATTTGCGCGCGCAGCTGGGGTCCTCTCGGGGCGACCAGCGCTCGTCGCGGGGACCCCCCTGCGCTCTGCCTCCAGGAGCTGCCCGACTCCCGCGCGCTCTGCCCAAGGCCTCGCCCGCTGTCGCCCGCCTTTTTTATGTTGCCCCGTGCCGCGGACGACCCGCGTGCTTTGCCAGGACTCCCTCCGGGCGACCAGCGCGCGTCGCGGAGACTCCGCGCAGCGCTCTGTCCAGGGCCGCGCCAAGGCGGCTGGACAAACAGTGGTGACTTGTGAGGGAAGGAGTTGGACGTGCCCCGGCGGCGCGCGGGGCACCGCGTGCGAAGCGGAGGGGCGGAAGAGCCAGGAAGTGGCAGTAAAACGGCGGCGCCCAGGGCGCGCGTGAAGCGGCGGCGAGCCGGGGCTCGCCCGTGCCCGCTCGTCGTCCCCCCCGTCCATGCCACAAGCGTTTTGCTGGCCCCTTCCTCCATGCCACCCGCGCCGCTATGCTCGCAGGCGGATGCGGTTGGGCCCCTCGCTGGAACCACCTGCTTCTTCTATTCCCCCCCGCGCGGGCGGGGCGCACGGGGGGGGGAAGGAGCAGGGGGAGGAGCAGGAAGGAGGGGAGAAGAGTAGGAAGAGAAGGGGGCGGGTGACGCGGATGAGTCTGAGAAGGACGATGCGGGCGAGGAGGTGGAATAAGCGGGGGGTGAACAACAGGAACATGGATGTTGGTTTATGGGGTTGTTGAGGATGATGGTGATGGTTGTGATGCTGATGATGCTGATGATGATGTGATGGTGGCGGTGGTTCTGACCACGATGATGGCGATGGCGGTGATGATGAGGAGGAGGACTAGGAGTGGGAGGAGGAGGAGGAGACGGAACGGGACGATCTGTTACTATTTCAATTCAGCTCCGTAGTGTGAGGCTCAGGGACGCATGGGAGTTCGCGGCCCCAAATTGTTTCATGTGTCATGAACAAGAGCGCGTAGCATTCCCTGCCAGGTACGGTTCCGTCTTTTGGCAATTTTACGTATTTTGGGATATGGTTGGTTGTGTTCGCAAGCGTGGACGCGCACCAACAAAGGGCGCGGGTACAGGGCCAACTACGGATGCAAGCGTTCGCGCCGCATTCGCGGCAATCCTTCGCACGCGCCCGCACCCCAGCCGAGAAGTCACGTGGGGGAATGGCCCTATTTACCACGCATCGAACGAAACTATAGCGCTCGTTGTCGCATAGGTCGCCGTATGTGTCAAGATGCCAGAACAAGACGTCGCCACTGTTTCTGTTGGTTGGGATCCTCCGCCTCTTGCCCGAATCGCGGTGACTCGTGATCCCGAGGTTGGTGGCGTTGTTCCTACTGCTCGTGCTGTTCGCGTTGCTTCAGATCCTTTTCAGCAGGATCTGTGGCACGCGCAGAGCAAGTACGACACTAACAAAGTTTCGGCGGACACGGCCATGGAGTACACGCAGCAGTGGTCGCGTAATTTGAATTGCGTGAAAAGCCAGAACGGGCGAGACAGCTGCCAAGGTTGCGACGCATTATGAAGCCATGGGCGGAGCTCTACTCACCAATCCGCGCGCGCAGTTGGACACACTTGTGGCCAGCCTCGCCCTTGTCTTCTCCGCCCAGGCGTTTGTCATCAAAGTCGAGCCTCAGAAAAAAAATAACCAGCAGACCGCTCATGCTGCAGAGATTCCTGTTGTTGCTCTTGGCGCGCCTCTCGCGCATCCTGCTCCGCGTGTCGCAGGAGGCGCAATCATGGGAGTTTTTGGAGTTCCCATTCCAAGTTTTGGGAGGATCTCGATTAGCCGGAGCTCTTTGAACCCGCCCTGCAGGTTCAGGGACAACCAGCCGGTGACGATGAAGGTTCAAACATGGAGATGCTGCCGCCACTGCAACCCGCTCCGCTAAACGCAACATCCGTCGCATTATCTTCGCCGGTTTCCTGCAGTCTTTGCAGGGCTACCAGCAGAACATTTGCGCCGACATCAAGGGTGGGCAGTCTTAGCCGACAGTCGTTCGTCATGGTTTCGGACGAGGGCAATGGCGGAGGAGAAACAGGAGGAGGGGGATGAGGGGGAGGATGGGGAGGAGGAGGAGGAGGAGAAGGAGGAGGAGGAGAAGGAGGAGGAGGACTGGAGGAAGGGATGGAGGAAGAACGAGGAGGATGAGGAGGAAGGGGAGGAGGGGGTGGAACAAGAGGAGGAGGAGGAGGAGGAAATAGTACTCGTCGGGGGAGGATGGGCGATGGGAAGGGCAGGGTGCACGGAGGAGGGGCGGGGAGACGGCGCGCGTTGGGCGCCCTGGCCCCCCTGCAGGCCGCGGGGGCGGCCGAGGCGTCGGGGTCGCAGCAGCTCTTCGGCGCTGGGATGCGGGCCACCATGGCTCCGCCCTCGTCCGTTGCATCCGTGGTCGGCGGCCTCGCTCCACCTTTCTCCGATCCATCCTGGTCATCCTCCTCTTCCTCCTCCTCCTGTGACCTCCTCCTGCTCCTCTTTCTCGTTCTCCTCTTGTCTCTCCCCCCGTCCTCTTCCTCCTCATACTCTTCAATTCCCCCTCTGAGAAGGGGTCATTTGGCCTTCCACCACGTTCATGGATCAGCCACCTTTTGAGGTTGTTTCAGCCTCCAGTAGAATCATCTCCCTCTTCGTCTTTCTCTTCCTCCTTTTCTTCCCCCTACGATTCATTCCCCTCTCCCTCTTCTTCCTCTTCTTCTTCATTATCCTCCTCCTTCCCCCCCTCCTTTTTTTCCATCTCCCCCCATTCTCTACGCATCGTTTTCCTCCTGCCACTCCTGCTGCTGGTCATCCTGCTCCTGAAACGGAGGAGGAACATGAGGAGCATGAGGCAGAGCAGCAGGAGGAGGGAGGTCCGTCGAATGCTCCATGACTTCACAGTGGTTGCATAGAGACGGATGTGGACGGCGCGGCGAAAACGTCTCATCCTTGCCCCCCTGCGCATAACAATGGTACTACCTACGAACTAGAGTTACCGAAAAAGAGTGCGACGACATGCACAGCACTTCACAGAAGAGGAAGCGGTGGACAGATAGTTATCCTGGCGACGGGCCTATCCATATGCAGCTGCGAGCACCGCGGAGCTGCAGCTGCAAAGACGGAGAGGAGCCAGCACGAGAATTTGGGCGTGGATGGGATTCGGCGCCGCCATGCGTACCCCGCCACTTGGGCCTTCGGGAGAGCTCCCCGTGGGGGCACGAAGCGTGTGAGGGGTGTGCCGACATAGGCGTGGTGGCGCCATGCGAACCTTGCCACTGTGGCCTTCGGTGGAGCTCCCTATGGGGCAACGACGGGTGTGAGGGGGTGTGCCGAAATGGGTTCCCGGGGGAGGGGGGAGATTTGGGACTCTCCGAATAATTTTCGTCGGGGTGGAGGGGGGGCTCCTGGACCCCGCGAATAATTTTCCAGGGGGGGGTCTGGAACGACGGTGTCGGTCGAATGACGGATCTGAACCCCTTTTGTTTTTTTCAGGACAGCGACGGTGAATCGCGTTCCATCGGATGACGATGGTGATGACGATGATTTCGATCATGAGGATCATGGTGGTGGTGGTGGTGTTGATGGTGATTGTGATGGTGATGATGGCGGTGACGGTGACGACAAGGTGGAGCAGGAGGAGGTTGAGGGTGATGATGATGCTGCTGATGATGATGATGATGATTAATGCGGTGGCAGTGATGACGAGAAGGTGGTTGCGGAGGAGGAGGAGCAGAGTAAACCCAATATGCTCCGGCGATGCCGCAATACACCCTCCCGTCTCAAGTCCCCTCCTCATGCGTCTCTGCGAGCGTTCCGTTTCATTGACAGATGTGTTCTTTTGAATGACCAGCGCAGTTTGGCCTGTCATTTTTGATTGCCCTTTGCTTTGAAAAGGGCCTGCCTTGCATCCCCTCGGGCGTAAGCAGTCAGGAATTCGAGAAACTGCGATCATACGATTGAACGGGGTGTCCAGCGAGATACCCTCTTTGAAGAAGGCCCGCCCCTCACATCCGTAACTATTGCACTTTTTTGTGTGTGGCCACCAACGCAGAAGAAGTTCCCAGCCAACGCTTCATTTCGAACAACATCGCCTTTGATCACTGCAGTGGTACACGTTTTGAAGTTCCTTGTTCATCGTATTAACTACGTTTCTAACGAGAACCTCATTTTGAATCAGACTCGCATTCCATGTTTACAGTGGTTGCGTACATGCGAGGCGTGCACGGCGCTGAGGCGAGAGCCGCACTGCGACACTTACCTGTGCTCCGTCCTTGAAGCTGCTGCAAGAGTTTCGGACGAATGCGCCCGTATTTGGCATATGAATTGTTGCAAACGTTGTAGGACCACGGTGAGCGACGGCGAGAGCCAATTTTTGTCAAGACGAGTGTTTGCGGCGATACGGCGAGAACCACATGTTGACAACCATTGGTGCTCCACCCTCAGAGATCTGGTTCAAACTTTTAAGACGAATGTGTTCGGCGCTGAGGCGAGAGCTGCTTGAATATGCTGCAAACTTTTAGGAGGAATGTGCGCAGGGCTGAAACGAGAACGACGCTTTGAAAACTGCCCCTCCTCCATCCTGCAAACATGTGCACATTTTTAGGACGAGTGCGCGCGGCGCTGAGGCGAGAGCCATGGTTTGAAAACGTCACGCGCTTCATCCACGAATCGGTTCCACATTTCAAGCTTCAGGAGCACGAGTGGTGAGGAAGTCTCAGGCGAAGTGCCCGGCACATTCTGCCGACAGGTTTTTGGGAGCGAAATGGGAAGCTCATTGCATCGACAAGGAATGGACACGAGAGGGTGCGGGAGAAGGAGGAGAAGGAGGAGGAGGAGGACGGAGGAGGACAGGAGGAGGAGGAGGAGGAATAGGAGGAGGTGGAAGGATGAAAGGAAGATGGAGGAGGGAGGATGGAAGACGGAGGAGGGTGGAGGGAGGAGGGAGGAGGATGGATGGGTGGAGGATGGGGGAGGAGGGAGGAGGAGGAGGAGGAGGAGGAGGAGGAGAAGGTGGGATGGAGGGACGAGGAGGCATCCCCCTCCCCTCGCCGCCTGCCTGCCCGCCGCAGTTTTACACCTGCATCTGCTGGACCTCGGCGTCCGTCAGCTTCTACGGGCTCCTTGCCCCCCCCCCCTGGCCGGCCGTGCCTTGCCGGGCAGAGCGCGGCCGCGGCGTGCAGGGGAAGGAGGCGGGAGGATAGAGGAGGGAGGAGGAGGAGAGAGGAGGGAAGGGGGAGGCCGCACACCCTGACGTTGGAGTTCGAGGCGCCGTCTGTCGTTCGATGGTGAGATTGATCGATCCTGGACTGGTACTACTGTGGACACGGAGGAGGAGGGGGGAGGAGGATGAGCCAGGAGCCAGGAGGGACCGTCTGCCGAGAAACCCAGCAACCCAGGATGAGATTGCTGGACATTCCTGGCCGCCACAGATCATGTGGCCCTGGAGGACGAGGGCGGCAACGACGGTGATGGTGATGATGATGGCGGCGATTATGATGTAGACGATTCTGAGGCCTTTGTGGGTGACGATGAGGCTGATGATGTTGCTGCTGATGCTGATGCTGATGCGGTTGATGCTGGTACGGCTATCGAGGATGACGAGTATGAGGACGATGGTGGGGACGATTCTGAGGATACGTCGGGCGATGTTGTGCTCGATGTGGGTGTTGACGCGGAGGGGGAGGGGGACGTCGCACGATGCTTGCCTCGGGCCCCCGATAATAAAGCATCTCCCCTCCAGGCCAAGGCAGAGTTGGTCGGGGGAGAGGGGTGGCGAGGCCGAATTTCATTATCTGCGGGGAAGGTACGATTCGAGTGTGCTAGATGCTTATGTTGCGCAAGCGTATCTCACATCCTGGATATAACTACTTCTATTACTACTGCTAGTGCGATTACTTCTACCACTACTACTACTACTACTACTACTACTACTACTACTTCTACTACTACTACTACTACTATTACAACAACAACAACAACTACTACTACTACTACTACTACTACTACTGCTGATACTACTACTACTTCTTCTACTACTACTACTACTACTACGCCTACGACTACGACTACTATTACTACTACTACTACTACTACTACTACTACTACTACTACTACTACGCCTACTACTACTACTACTGCCACTGCTACAGCTACTGCTACTACTACTACTACTACTACTACGACTACTACTACGACTGCTACTACTACTACTACTACTTCCACGATTGTTACGACTACGACTACTACTACCAGCACTTTTCCTGCTTCTGCTACTACTACTATCACGACTACTACGACGACGACGACGACTACTACTACTGCTACTACTACTACCACGGCTACTACTACCACGACTGCTGGTACGACCACTACTGCGACGATTCTTGCTACTACGATTTCCAGTCCTACTACTACGTCTGTTACTACTGTTTTATACTATTAATGTAACTACTATTACTAATACGACTACTCTGACTACTACTACTACTACTGCTACTACTACTGCTACTACTACTACTGTTACTACTACTACTACTACTACTGCTACTGCTACGACCTACTACTACTTCTACTCTCACTAACGCTGCTACGACGACTACTGTTATTAGTACGACCATAGCGACTACTACTACTACTACTACTACTACTAGGACTACTGCTACTACTACTACTACTACTACTACTACTACTAATACTACTTCTACTACTACTACTACTACTACTACTACTACTACTTCTACTACTACTACTACTACTACTACTACTACTACTACTACTACTAGTATTACTACTACTACTACTACTACTACTACTACAACTACTACTACTACTACTACTACGACTACGATTGCAACACCTACTACTACTACTACTTCTATAACTACTCCAATCCATACCATTACTTCGACTACTACTACTCCTACTACTACCACTGCTACTGCTACTTCTTCTCCCCACCACTACTAATACTACCGCTACCACGGCTACGACAGTCATACCTGACTTATGGTCGGTGAGGCCCGGGTCCGGGTCTTGGTCTGGGGTTGGGTGGATTTTTTTTGTAGTCGGAATCTCAGTGTCATCGAAATCCCATTATATCGGAATCTTATTGCAATCGGGGTCCGATTGTAATCGTAATCTTTGTGTAATCGGGATATGATTGTAACCATAATCTTTCTGTAATCGGAATTTTAGTGATTCGTATTGGAATCCGATCGGGATATGATTGTAATCGGAATCCGATTATAATCGTATTGTAATCGGAATCCTATTGGAATCCAAGTTGAATCGGAATCTTATTGGAATCCAAATGGAATCCTTTTGTAATCGGAATCCTGTTGGAATCTACTTGGAACCCCAGTATAAGCAGAATCTAAGCCGAATCTAATTCGGATCTTCTTACAATCGGAATCCGATTAAAGTCCGATTGTAATCGGAATCCTTTGGCATCCAAGTGGGGCCCTATTGTTGTCGGAAATCGATTTTAATATTAATGGAATCCTGTTATAATCGGAATCCTGTTGGAATGGATCCGATGGGAATGCCATTCGAATCCTATTGTGATCGGGATCCAGTTGGAACCCTCTTCGGGTCTTTTGGGGTTCTGGAACCTATTGGGATCGTATTGTAATCGGAATCCGATGGGAATTCGGTTGTAATCGCATTCTAATCGGAATCCTGTTGGAATCTAAATGGAATCATAATCTTATTGGAATTCAATGGAATCCTTTGCTAATCGGAATCCTGTTGGAATCCATTTGGAATCCTAGTATAAGCAGAATCCTAGCCGAATCCAATTGGGATCCCATTATAATCAGAACCCGATTACAATCCGATTGGAATCGGAATTCTTTGGTATCCAAGTGGGGTCCTATTGTATTCGGAATTCGATTGGAATATTACTGTAATCCGATTGTATTCGGAATCCTTGTGGCATCCACTTAGACTTCGATTATAATCGGAATCGTATTGGAATCCTAGTGATCGGGATTCGATGGGAATCCCATTGGAATCCAGTTGGAACCCTGTTGGGGTCTCTTTTGGGGATCTGGAACCTATTGGGATCTTATTGAAATCGGAATCCGATTGGGGTCGGGTTCCTGTTGGGATCTGATTGGATTCTCATTGTATTCGGAATCCTAGTTGAACTCGTTTCAAACGGAATCCCATTGGAATTCAAGTGTAATCTTATTATAGTCAGAACCCACTTTGAATCTAGTTGGAATCCTGGTGTAATCATTCTAATCGGAATCAAACTGGGACCTCGTAGATCCTATAGGAATCAGAATTCGATTGTGATCCGATTGGAATCAGATTGCAATCGGAGTCGTAAGGATTCTCTACGATTCCATCGGGATCCCATAGGATTCCATAGGGATCCGGATTCCACCGGGATGGTGTATGATTCCACAAGCATCCCATAGGATTCCATCGGGATCCGACAAGATTTCACAACGATTCTATGGGACCCCATCGTGGTCCTATAAGATGCCATCCGGGTCCTATAGGATCCCATTGGGATCTCATAAGATTCCAGAGGGATGCTGTTGGGTTCCATAGGGATCCGGTCTGATTCCATACGGATCTTGAAGGATCCCGTTGGGATCTTCTCAGGTGTCACAGGGATCTTATAGGAATTCTATGGGATCCCATATGTATTATATAAGATTCCATTGGGACCATGTAAGGTCCCATTTGGTCTTACAGGATGTCATAGAGATCCTGTCTCCATCCATACGGATCCCATGGACATCGTCTAGGATGCCTTCAAGATCCGATAGGATTCCATAGAGTCGTTGTAGGATCGTATAGAGATTGTGAGAGATGCTACAAGATCCCATTGGGATCTTACAATTGTCCACGGGTATCTTACAGGATTTCATTGGGATAATATAGGATCCCAGAGGGACCCCATAGGATGTCATTGGAATCCTTGAGGACTGCATTGAGGTCCTACAGGATTCCATTGACGAATCTATGATATCCCATTGGGATCTTACTGGATTGCATTTTGAGATTCTTTGGGTTTTCATGGGGGTCCGATACGATTTCATAAAGACCCTATCGTATCCCATTGGGCTCTCATAGGATTCCATAGAGATCCTCCAGGAGTCCAGACGGATCTTATATGGATCCTATAGGATGCCAGATGGATTTTACAATACTCCATACGAGGATCTTTTTGCCACTCCATAGAGATGCTATGTCATTCCATACGGGTCCTATGGGATTCAATCTGGGTCTTATAGGATCCCATAGAGAGCGTATTTGCTTCCACCTGGATCCTATAGGATTCCATCGGGATGCGATCGGGCTCCACTGGGATCCTATAGGATTCCACAGGGACCCTATAGGATTCTATAGGGTTCCGATTGTTTTCCATGGGGATCCTACAGGATCCCCTGGGAACCCGAATGGCGTCTCAAGAGATCCGACGCCCGTCTAGACGGCCAGAATGGCGAACGCGGAGGATCAACAGAGGAATATTTGGAAAAGTCTACGGGCAAAAAGGCGCCGGCCATAGGTCATGTGTGAAATACATGCAGCTTTATTTTCTCAATGCATGTATTGAGGGCCTTGCAGTACCGCCAATATAACGCACTAGTATTATTTTCTACTACTACTACTACTACTACTACTACTACTACTACTACCAATACTAGTAGTACGGTCATGACTACTACTACTACTACTACTACTACTACTACTACTAGTACTACTACTACTAACTACTACTACTAGTACTACTAGTACTACTACTACTACTACTACTACTACCACTACTACTACTACTACTACTACTACTACTACTTTTACTACTACTACTACTACTACTACTACTACTACGACTACTACTACTACTACTACTACTACTACTACTACTACGACTACTACTACTACTACTACTACTACTACTACTACTACTACTACTACTACTACTACTACCACTACTACTACTACTACTTCTACTACTACTACTACTACTACTACTACTACGACTACTACTACTACTACTACTACTACTACTACTGCTGCTGCTGCTGCTACTACTACTACTACTACATGTATTTCGACCCCTACAAATGCTACTGCTACTAGTACTAGCCGTAGTAGTGGTAGTAGTATTTAATTTGCTACTGGTATTCCGAGTGCTACGACTACCACACCTACTACCACCACTATTATTATCATGAATGCTACAAGTACGGTTTTAATCACTATTCCGACGACCACGACTTCTACCCCTTCTACTGCTACTTATATTTCTTCCACGATTACGACCACTACCGCTACTACCACCTAGTACGGCGACTACTGCGACTACAAATGATTCTACGGATAGGATCAATACTATTGATACTACTACCAGTACGACGACCACTGGATCCGAATTCCATCGGGGTGGTGTATGATTCCACAAGCATCCCGTAGGATTCAATTGGGATCCGACAAGATTTCAAAACGATTCTATGGGAGCCCATCGGGGTCCTATAAGATGCCATCCGGGTCCTGTAGGATCCCATAGAGATCTCATACGATTCCAGAGGGATGCTCTAGGGTTCCATGGGGATCCGGTTTGCTTCCATACGGCTCCTATAGGATCCCATTTCAATCTTACAAGATTCCATGACGATCGTATCGGAGTCCGAAAGGATTCCATACGGATCCTATAATATTCCATTCGGCTCGTATAGGATTCCATTTAGTCTTACAGGATATCATCGAGATCCTGTATGCTTCCATACGGATCTCATTGATCTCGTCCAGGATCCCATAAAGATCCAATCGGAGTCCGTAGAGACGCTGCAGTATTCTATAGACATCCTGAGAGATTTTATTTAAAGGATCCCATTGGGATCCTACAGGGTCCCATGGGGGTTCGATTCGGATCTCAAAGGGATCCTGTAGGATCACATAGGAATACCATAGGTTTCATGGGAATCCTTGAGGATTGCATAGGGAGGTCCTGCAGGATTCCATGGACGAGCCTACGACATGCCATTTGGGTCTTATTGGTTCCAATTTTGGGATTACGGGGGTCATGGGGATCCGGTATGATTCCATAAGGACCCCATCAGATTCCATTGGGATCTTGTAGGATTCCACAGAGATCCTCCAGGATGCCAAACGCATCTCATAAGTATCCCATGGGATGCCAGAGGGACTTTCAAATATTCCATAAGTGAAACGTTTTGGCATTCCATGCAGATGCTGTAGAATTCCATAGGGATCCTGTGGGATTTCATCGATATCCTACAGGATTCCATGGAGAGCGTATAAGCTTCCATGGGGGTCCTATAGGATCCCATCGGGATGCTATAGGATTCCAGTGGGATCTCAGAGGATTCCACAAGGACCCTATAGCATTCCTTGGGGACCCACTTGGATTCCATAAGGATTTTACAGAATCTCATTGGAACCCGAATGGCGCCTCAAGAGATCCGACGCCCGTCTAGACGGCCAGAACGGCAAACGCGGAGGATCAACTGATGAATCTCTGGGAAACTCTACGGTCAAAAAGGCGCCGGCCATAGGTCAGGTGTGAAATAAGAGCTGTTCTATTTGCTACTACTGAGGGCCTTACAGCAGTACCGCCCATAAAACATTGGGAGCCCCCGGCCATACAGAAGGTGTGACCTACTTCTACTAATAGTATTACGAATGCTACTCTTATTCGTTGTTTCTTGTATCATTACTACGACTACGACTACTACTTTATTACTCTTACGACCTATACGACCGTTATACGACCACCCTGCGGGTGATAAGGAGGTTGGGGGGGAGGGGGGCCAGCAATGGGCAGCAGTGGTGATTGTTGCGATGCCGCTCGCTCTCGGGATCATCGATCCCGCTATCGATCACTCGATCGATCTCACTATCGATCTTTCTCGATCGATTTCACTGTCGGTCTCACCCTGGGTCTCGCTATTGATCCCACTATCGATCTCCCTATCGATATCATTCGATCGAACAATCGATATCACTATTCATTTCACTATCGATGTCACGATCGATCTCACGATCATCGGTTTCACCATCGATCTCACAATCGATTTCGTAATCGGTCTCACTATCGTTTTCGCACCAGTTGGACACCAGGACGCCGGCGTGACTCCGGCGGGACACCGGCGGGACACCGCGGGACACCGCGGGACACCGCTTGCCAGAGGGAAAATCATTTGGTCCGGTCGCGCCTCAGCCACAGGAGACTTTCCTCTCGCTCGGCCACGCAGCTTCGCCCCGCCCGCAGGCACGGCACGCACGAACACGAAACCGAAACCGATTTCCCGGTGGCTTTCCGTTCCATGTCGATCCCACCCGCCAACCTCCGACTACGTCCACTACTACTACTACTACTACTACTACTACTACTACTACTACTACCACTACGACTACGAGTACTACTACTACTACTACTACTACTACTACTACTGCTACTACTACTACTACTACTACTACTACCACTACTACTACTACTACTACTACTACTACTACTACTACTACTACTACTACTACGAGTACTACGAGTACTACGAGTACTACTAGTACTACTAGTACTACTAGTACTACTACTACTACTACTACTACTACTACTACTACAACTATTAATACTACTACTGCTACTGCTACTACTAACACTACTACTGCTACTGTTACTACTTCGACTACGACTACAATTACGATTAATACGACCACTACTACTACTGCTACTACCACTACTACTACTACTTCACTTTTTCTTTTCGGAGCAGTACTACTACCACTACTACTGTTAGTGCTACGACTACTGCGACTACGGCTACTGCTACTACTATTATTACTTGTACGAATACTCTCACGATTACTACTACTGCTACTACTACTGCTACTACTACTACTACTACTACTACTACTACTACTACTACGACTACTACTACTACTACTGCTACTGCTACTACTACTACTACTACTACTACTACTACTACTACTACTACTACTACTACTACTACTACTACTACTACTACTACTACTACTACTACTACTACTACTGCTACTGCTACTACTACGACTACTACTACTACTACTACTACTACTAGTACTACTAGTAGCAGTAGTAGTAGTAGTACTACTACTACCATCAGTACTACTACTACTACTTCTACTATTACGACTACTACTACTCCTTCTACTACTACAACTACTACGACTACCACTACTACCATACTACCACCACCACTACTACTACTACTACTTCTACTACTACTACTACTACTACTACTACTACTACTACTACTACTACTACGACTACGACTACTACTACTACTACTACTACTACTACTACTGTTTTCATCGTGCTACGATTACTACACCGACTTCGACTACTTTTTCTATTATGAGGACTACAAGTACTGTTTTAATACTTTTTCCGACGACGACTGCTACTGCTACATGTATTCTTTGCACTACTACTACCACTACCAGTACTACCACCTACTACGGCAACGACTGCGACTGCTAATGATTCTACGGCTAGGATCAATACTACGCAGACTACTATCAGTACGACGACTACTTGATCCGAATTTCATCGGTTTGTTGTATGATTCCACAAGCATCCCATAGGATCCCATCGGGATCCTACAAGATTTCAAAACGATTATATGGGATTCCATCGGGGTCCTATAAGATGCCATTGGGTTCCTCTAGGGTCCCATAGGGATTCCATAAGATTCCACAGGGATGCTGTAGGGTTCCATGGGGATCCGATCTGATTCCACCTTGAAAAGCGGCCTTCCCAAATATTTCAATTTGTCTTCCTGTTGTTCCTTAATCCTCCCCATCTCCTGCCTCTCCCTCCCTTTCTTCCTCCTCCTCTTCCCCATCCCCCTTATCGGGACGGCCCTCCTCAGGACACCTCGTGTGAAGGGGGCGCGTGATGCCCCGAGTTGACGGCCCAGAGCCCGCTCCGACGCGAGCATGTCCCAGGGCGCAGTGCTTCACAGTGCACAGCCGCAACACACAGCACAGAGCAGCATATCACGCGACTGCGACACAGCACACCTCGGCGCCCTGGGCCATATGACACGCCGGTAGATACACGCACCCTCCGCTCCAGACAGGCTGCATGGCGAGGACGACTCACACGAAAAACCTAGGAACGTATTGAGGAGGAGGGGAGGAGAGAAGGGGATCGGGAGGAGGGAAGGAGGAGTCCTCGATGCCCAAGCAATACTTGTTATCGTGTAGTGATATTGGGCCCCGTGCGAGACCCAGACGTCTTAGGGAAGTGAATGGTGAGGAGTGGGAAGTAGAAGGACAAGGAGGAGGAGGAGGAAGAGGAGGAGGAGGAGGAAGAGGAGGAGGAGGAGGAGAAGAAGGAGAAGGAGGGGGAGGAGGAAGAGCAGGAGGAGGAGGAGGTGGAAATGCTTGGATGGGGGATGAAAATAAGCTCTGCCCAGGCTGTCGTAC